AGATTGGCCGCCGATAAGAATGCTCCGGGGACATTGGCACGTGGCCAAGGGAAACCGCGTGGCGAGAGAGAGAGAGAGAGAGAGAGAGAGAGAGAGAGAGAGAGAGAGAAACGTCAATTAAGAGGCGCTGCGAGCGATGCCAGTCACGTCGCGACGTTTCGTGTCTATTTTAATACAAATTAATCTAAGAAATTGCATATCTTTATAAGGACATCTCCGGCGGCCTTGGATTACAGCTTGTAATTTGCTCATTAGATAGCAAAAATCTACGTCTGCACTGCAAATCCAAGTGTGTTATTTTGAAACGCACAGGTATGTAACATGGCTGAGACTTTTTCTACACGTTTCTTGCGGTTTTCACGTCATTTAACACGTGTAAGAGATGTGTAAATTATAATTTAATACTTTTCCAACATGTCCAACGACGTGACACAAAACGATAAAAAACGTAAAAAGAGATTCAGCCAAAATAATATACCTGGATTCGCACTGTACTTGCAGTCTACTGCGCGAGTTTAATTAGGACTGATATCACACGTTCGAAGTGGGAATCGAGCGGAAGATCGAGATCTTATTTGTACGCTACAAATCTGCTTCTTCTCTTAGGTGCATCATGTTAACATTGTCAAAATAATATAAACTCAATGTAATACAAACGTACAACTCGAGCGTTATAAGAGAAATAGAATACAAAAAAAGATTACAAGGAGGAGTTAAAAGACGTAACTTTGAAGTTACAGCGACCGCGCGTGTAATAATTCCTCTCGACTAACTACCTACACGAGCCATCTGTGTTCAAACGACCGCCGTCTCTCGGCAAGTATGGTCGGTAAAGCAGAGAACGACGCAATTACGCAATTTTATTGAGTAACCACTTTCCCACAAACGTCATCTAAGCTGTATGTAATCGCGGAGGGTATTTTTTTTGCTTTTTAAGGAGATGTAAAGTAGTCGACTTACCTTTCGTCGCCATCTCTGCGGCGCGAAAGAAAACAAAAAATTCACTATTAGATGGGTGACTACTTATAGCGCTAACATTAAGTATAAATCTACATTTGACGGCTCAATCGGCTGTGTCATCCCTACCTCCCTAGCGTCGTAAGCAACATTTAAAGCATCATCTTTATTGTAATAGCATATTATTCCACACATTATTATAATATGTGAAATATGGATACATGTTCCCGTGTGTGCGTGGGAATTGACGCACTGCAAAATTTGTTGTTAAATTTAACATTGAAAGAAATAAAAGAAAGAATAAATATGTTTCTGGGAAATCCAAGAAAGTCATAATAAAAAAAAAACAAAGAAACACAGGTACAAAGGGTCAATTTCCGAGAATGTTATACAAAGACGTGGCAATCTTTCGGGACGCACCTCGCGTTGCCGCGTTCACGTCAGAGCATTTCACGTTACTACTCCGGAGGTGAAAGAATCGTGAGGTTTTAACCGCAAAAAGCCTCCTTCTACTTTTCCTCCTTCTCCTCCTCCTCCTCCTCCTCCTCCTCCTCTCTTAAGCACCACTGTCTATGGGATCGCGAACACTAGCCGCCTTTATACGCTCGCGTAACTCGGTTCGCGCCTTTGCCCGGCTTTTTGCGGCTCCTTAAAAAGAAACGCGCGTGATCTCTCGCGCCGACGTACATAAATTGCGTGTGCCCGATGTCTCGCCGCCGTTTATCGCGCGCGCACGCCACGCGGTAGCGGACACGGTAGTAGCACAGATCGCCATCAAAAGAAATATTCATGAGCGAACTGCGGGACAAGCGCCGCGTGTGTCGGGACCTCATGATCTTGAGATTCGCCGATACCGTATGCGCGCGAAGGAGACACGGACAATCGACGTCAATCGTATCGCGTCTTTATCCGCTACGTGCGCGCGAAGTCCATCGACGGCGGGAGCGGAGAAACCGATTGCGGGCGATCGAGAGATCCGTAACGAATGACTGAGACTTTCGCGTGTAAAACAGTGAAAACAGTTTCTAACGAAGTCCTAATGAAATCTTAATCAAATCGCGTGTCGATTGTGTATCTTTCCCCGAACGTGGGCTCGTAAAAAGGGAAAAATTTCATCGGCGCGTTCAATGAAAACTTTCACTTCTCACGCGTAAAATTGTTTGTTAAATTTTGTATTTTATAAGGGAAAGAATAAAAGTTTCTCTCGAAAATTCAAGAGACCTACGATAAAAAAAATAAAGAAACAAATGCAACCACTGTTTCAATATCATTAAATTGATCGGTAAAACTTTTCACATGAGTGAACATTTTTTGTTAAATTTTATATTTGATAAGAATAGACATTTCTAAAAAATCCAAGAAATCACGATAAAAAAATAATAAAAATAAATAAAAGATAATAAAGAAATATAGATATAATTTCAATTTTACTGTTTCAATTGCACTGAATTCGTCAATGAAACTTTTCACGAATTCAGTCGAGACACCATGATCGATAATCCGGCTGGTTAAAATTGCATAATTCGAGGTACATGATAAAACAGAAAAAACATATAACTATAGATTTCACACACCGACTTGTCAAGTCGCAGACTTGTAATTGATTGGCGACTCGACACACCCCAATAATTCGATACTCTATTGAACTGCAAACGCTGTCAATTGTGAGATAAATATATAGAATCGAACATTATGCTTATGTGCTCGCGCGACTAGACAAAATAGCTTCTGGCCTTCTGGACCGAGCACTCTGTGCGACTCGGCCGAGCGTGACTCTCTCGATCGACCGGTCAACCGACCGGCCGGTCGGTCGGTCGGTCGGTCGGTCGGTCGGTCGTTCGGTCGGTCCTGCACGAGGCGGCGAACGCGGCCGTCCTCGCTTTCGCTTTTCTTTGGCAATGCACGTGGTTCCATGCACGTAGTACATTCGTTACCGGCACCTACCACAACGTCGCTCACATCGAGATGCGGGCGCTAAAAATAGCGCGGAGAACATAACGCACTGGCCGCGAGAGATGTGACCTATCGTGGTATGCGCGACATGCTTGATTAGCATGCATACGTCGAGTCGAGTCGAGTTCAGAGTCGCGTCATGTCGCGTGGTGTCGTGTCGCTTAAACGTCGCCCAGCCATCGGGTTACCCAACCGACAATACGCCCATCGCCGATGGAATTTGACGGTTGGGCGTCTCAAGAGCTCGAGGGGCCGATGAAGTGAGAGGTCGAGCGAGAAATAATCGCGCGGAACAACTCGACATCTAGGGGAAAACGCCCAGCCAATACCCCGCCTGTTTTCGGCGCGTGAATTTTATTATATGTTAAAGTGTATGGGAATTTAAAATAAAGATACATATAATCGATAAATATGACTAATCCATATTATCAAAGAGAACGAATAAGTATAACGAATTGTATAAGAATTATCCTCTTGACAGTTAAGAAGAAATGAGGAACTTAATAAGAGGAACAGAAAGAGAGAGATATGCATCGAAGCGTGTAAGTTAGATAGCTTAGTTGGAAGTCATCCGCACAGCGGAAGATCACGGGTTCGATTTCCGGCTACCTACCACGCCCGATATATTTTCTCTTATTTTTCCCACACCTTACAAGTTGAACAAATATTTATTTGATTATCACTGTCAGATTAACGATTAATCCAAGTGTCTTGCTCGGACACAAATAATCCTGGCTATTACTCGGAAGATTAATAAACAATTGATAAATTTTCATGTACCTTAATATTTAATAAGATCCGCGCAAGAATGCCGAAAAGTGGCGAGTGCTATAACAAGTGCTATTAAATTACTGGATATTTTCCCCTACATTAACGGAACTACTCTCTCGCGTGACAAACATCACGGGCCGCTGCAAACGGGAAATAGACGGAGTTCATCGACACTCTGACCGTCAACCTGTCAACTTTTATGACACCTGGACCACTGGTTGCCGAGGAGATACGAAGCGCAGCGGACCGAGCGACGTTTCGCGCCGTACATGTGTAAACGCGAAGGATTTGCTCCGCTAGAGCGGCGCGCGTCTCCGCGCGACGACACAAATTCGGCCGAAGGAAATGGCCACACGATTGCGGCACACACGACACGTCGCTCTGACTCGAGATGACTGGAGAACAAAAAGAAATTCCGCGGGAATTATGACGTAACGCCGCCGCAATTAATCCCAAGAGTTGTTCGCGCTTCCGCCTGTGCAGCTCGAAATAGGATACGCGTTCACTCACTCGCGCAGCGATGCATCGCGCGTCGCAGCGATTCTAGTTATTTCATCTTGTTCTAATAGTGTTAGGTTCCAGGCAATTATATCGAGCAATAAAAAGTATAATGCGCGACTTTCAACATGTTGTAATCCGCTCATGTCGCGAAACGCGTATGCAGAATAGCAACACCGCGTCGGTGAAAACGTGAAAGAGAAGGCCAGCTCTTGTCGCCGCTCTTCTAAGTATCCCGCACCGCGGAAAGTGACCGAACAGCAATTTCCAGCAGGACGAAAGTATTACCGCCGCGCCCAGCAGAACCAACGTATTCCGTTAGTCCAACGGTACGCGCACGAGTACACAAATGCAAAATACTTTCGACATGACGTATGCCATGGTCGCGCGGCGACGCTTCACCGAATTATGGCAAAGTTAACGAGTTGAAGAGAGACGGACATACGACACGCGGAGGTTCTGACGACTTTGGACACGAAAAAGAAACGATATTCGAGAAGATCTTTCGGAAAGCAGTCGCACCGTGCGACTCTCGGAAGTTCCCGCATACCGAATGAGCGTAAAACGCAGCCTGTGTAGCTTACGAGTACGCGACGCGCATAAATTTACGATGCCGCGGCACTCGCGCGCTCTACGGCAGCACAACATGCGGCATAAGTACCTGAGGTTGCCGTTGTTGTTTCGAGACGCATGGTCGATTCGAAAGGCGAACCACGCTCGCGTGAGTTCATCGTTACCGCGGCCGTTAGCTCGCGGGCTCTCGCACGCTCGGCTATCAGCACGGTTTTATCGCGTCCTCTCAAGATTACCGCGAGGCTTACCTGGAAGTGCAGGATGATCGTCCATATCAGGCCGAGGGTGAGTTTCGGATTACCGTCCACGATGTCCTCCGCCCGGATGTTGACCAGCTTGATCTTCTTGTAGCGTAAAAAGTCGAGGGCCATCTGCACGTTTTGCAGCATGTGGAAACGCATTCGACCCCTCTCCCGCGGCTGGAAGGTACAAGCAATTCGCCGATCAATTACACTTGATTCGGGACAATTATCGCTACTTGATCCAATTGTCGCGTTTGATCCAACTTCGATGTTTGAGTTCGTCGCGGTTACTTCTCCGATACGCACTCCTTAAATTTCTTGGTGTGAAATTTCATTCAGATCGAGTGAATGTTTCACTCAAGCGCAGAGTGGGTTCTAACTCGATATCAGCGCATGTTTCAATCGATTAGAGTGGATATATTCTTATAATAATGGAGTATGTCAGATTCATTCTTCAAATTCAAGTGAAAATAATCGCTCGAATTCAAGTGACCTGGTGGTCACTCTACTTTTCGACTGAAAAATTTCGCTCCAAGAAATCTAAAAAGTAATATGACAAAGTAATAGAACACATTTTGCTTGAGGAAAACCGAATTTCTAGCTCTTATGAATCAAATTCGGTCTTTAAGAATTAGAAAATCTATTTCTTTCGAAACAATGCATTTAGTTGCATTTCATATTATCATATTAATTTAACCAAACTTTTTCTCTCCATGCTTTCTAAATTTCTAGATGTGAAATTTCACTAAAAATGAGCGAATGTCTCACTTAGAGTGGATTCTGGCTCGATATGAGTGCATATTTCAGTCGATTAATGAATAGATATCTGTGACGGTGAAATACATCAGATTCACTTTTTAATTTTGCGTGAGACTAATTACTCGATTTAGAGTGGAGGATTTATCCTATATGAGTGAAAAATCACTCAAATTCAAATGAGTTAGTAGTCACTCTATTTTTCAAATGAAACTTCACTCCAAGGAATTTCAAGAATAAATCACTCGAGTTCGCGAATCCTATTTTGAACAACGAAGATCAAATTTAAAGAGAAAGAGCGCTACGAGAGTTTCGCGAAAGGCAAATACTCACAAGGTGCTCGCCTGAGAGCACTTCCAACAAGGAGATGAGATTGTGGCCGTCGCGCAGATCCTCGAACAAATCCCCAACATGTCGGCTCGCCTGCAACAAATTCCGCGCGGGGCAAGTTAATTGGCGCTTTTCACATTCGAGTAGAGCTCGTCCGGTTAAGAGTCCAAGAATAAAAGGATAAATATCAAAACTGACGCAGGAAAGAAACGCAGCAGAGCTAAATGGCACGATGAGGATTGTACGTACAAGGGGGTATAGTCCATCGGCGATGTAACTCGCGAGCGATTATCGCCAACAGAAAATGGAAAACCACAGGAATGTTGAGAGTTGCGTATGCATAATGCAAATAACGAAAGCAGCGTGAGTCGAGAGCGTGTATGAGCATCGTCGACAGCAAGTCATGTAATAGCGGCGCGTAATGTAATAACAGAAATACACGACTCGCGCATAATATTCGAAATTTTGCAATTTCAATGTGATGTACGCGTATTAGACAGTGATGATTTTCTAGTGAGCCCGATCTCGTATGTACGGTTTGCATATAGCACGTGGTGAAACACCACGATTAGAGTCAAAGGTCAAAAACAGTGTCCAAAGTTACTTGTTCGTGCGTGCTGTCCCATTGTTACCGTCTAAAACCTCGCTCCGAGCTATCCACGCGCAAGAAAACAAACGCATGCAAATCTAAAGGAAACTTAAAAATACGCATTAAGCTTGACGCGTGTTCGCTACCATATCGGTCGGCCAATGGTCAACACCAACATGCAAAGTGAATACGTCATTTCGTGCGAGTGTTAGTCAGACAGTGACACGTTAATAACATGAGAGAACACTCGCGTCGCGCAAACAGCGAAGGTTCTATCCCCGTGGGATATATCGGGTGACAAGCGCGCGCGCACGCGAAATATGCCCCGTCGTGCGTATCTCGCACGTTTTACATAATTCTTTAATTCGCAACGCCGTCGGGATTCGTGAAAAGATGAAATTTACACTGCAAACAACGATAAATTGTACGTGCTGTCAAATAATGCCGTCGATAATGACTGAGAACCATAAGACTTACGGTGGGGGAACAGCATGGTTGGTTGTTCACAAGGACGCACACGTGTAGGCACGTGTAAGTCTGAAAAAGATAGCGTTTGAGCACCATCACCGTGAGGGTTAGTAGAGGAAGAGTGTTCGCGGCGAGCAGGGGCGAGTGACGATGATTATTTCACATTTTTGGAAAGATAAAAAGGGAGCTCAGTAAAATCACTTACGAACAAGACACGTTAAACGGAATATATCGCATTTTCTACTTGTCGATATAGATAGAGATATAAAAGATCATTAAGCATATACTTCATAAAAATTATTCGTACAAGTATTCTGCGTATAAAACGAACGAATTCCTGTATTTCAGTGTAGAGACGTTCGATAAACGTTCACGCAAATTTTTTGAAGTGAGATTAATATAACAATTTTATTAGTTCTCACATATGGACTCGCTCCTGCGTGCGTGTGAACGTACATCACATACGCACGTGTTGCACACACATTCATGCGTGCGTGCGTACGTGGCGTGTCGTGCAGCCAGGTGAATAAATGTCAAACGATTGACAGACTAGCACACGTGATCCGCCTACCATCCGCGTTTCGTAATCGTGACTAATTGCGAGTCGCGTTTATAAGTTTCAAAAGACGATTTCGACGCGTTCTGTTTTACGACGATATTGCGACATTCGTTTCTTTGCGCGGTGTGTGAATAGGACTAATAATACCCTCGATTATCAGAAAGCAACGTTCGCAACGTGTCACGAAGACTTCGCATATAGGCACGAATGTCGCGAGCGTCGGGCCATACGCCAAAAGAAAGTGATAATTGAGCTTTGAAATTTGAATGAATAGGGAAAAAATTCCGAGTTGTGCGAAAGATACAGAAAATTTGAAAGTCATACTTTTCAGCTACGTTAAACCCGATGTAGTAAGTTCTCCTAAAAGTAGTCGACAAATATCTCCCGTCCATGTGTTAAAAACTATCCTGCCGGCAATAATCTATAACAGCTATGTCGCTGCAATCTGCATATTATTCCTATTAATAACAAACTATGCCAAGCGCAGCTCGCCAACTGTTCGCCAACTGTTGGCGAACTGTGCTCGCTCAGAAATAACAAACAACCGGACTCGGTGTAGTTTTCAGGTTCCAAGACGGAAATATTTCCGGAGTTAGGGACCGCGTGAACTTTCATCTTAGGAGCCAATAAAGTGCGCTGCTGAAATTAGTCAGGCATACCGCGAGCACCCTTCTCTACGAGTCTACTTTCGCTCACGAGTAAAAGACCTTCTGAGACGCGATTATCTTCCAATACTGAAATTAACTTTCGCAGAGCGACGATAACTCTCGATTGTCTCGCCACACTGACTAGTCACTTCGAGCGGAAAGAAAAAGAAAACTTTGAGATCTCTTTGGCGTGCCGAAGTCACGAGAGTGAAGGGTCGGACAGGGCGAGAACGTTATAGCTGGAATATCTCGCTGTGTCGCGTGACGCGCTCTGCAATTCCCGACGTGCCATTTCGGCATGAGTGCCAGTTTGTCATAAAGGCATTAGAGGCACGGGAGAATAAGACTAACAGACGGAACGGTATAGTGAATGCTCTTACGACGCTAATGAAAGTAATTATCCTAACCGCGCCATGAACCGCGTATGTAACATGTGCACGTTACGTTAAGAGACAGTCCTCGGGAGGAATGTCTGATTCTCTTCGCGATCGTTTAATTGGCGGGAAATCAGCACCATTATAATGGTGGATTATAATGATAAATAACATTATTACGAATTAAACTATGATAAATGTATGATGATCATTCTTTGTATATTTAATCTTATATATTGTAAAAGATGTAATAATCGGGAGGCATACCTTGACGTACTTCCAGTGCTGCAGGAAACATAAAAAGAATGCAGCAGCTCGTAGTAATTACAACGATGATTTACATATAATTAGGTCGATCACGTGGGAGAACGCGGGGCGCTGAATAAAGCGATTCATCCTTGGTCTTATCGTTACACGTAGCATGCAATTATTATTACGATCGTAACGTGTTCATCGTGGCTGTGATTAACATCGTTGCCGGCTAACAAATTTTATATGAATACGATTGCTCGTTTCGAACTTGCGCCGACGAAAAGCAGCTTTCGTTTCGTTACGAAACGTCGGGATACGTTCGCTACTCTGTCCTCGGCTCGCACAGATCGCTCACTTCCTGTATCCGCGATTCCGCGAACACGGTACAAGGTTCTGCAACGTGAAGCAAGTGAAACGTCTGCGAGAGACAATTCTCTAAACAAACGGGGATATCTAATGTAAGAACAAACAAAAGATTTTAGTAAAACATAAATGGCTCCAAAATGTCAATTTTTCAGGAAAAAATTTTTTTTTTATTTCGCGCAATCCGCTAACCTATGAATCTCTAAGTAAACAAAGATATCCAATATAAGAATCTGAACCTTTCAAGAAGAACAATTTTGTTTTAATTCCGCACATTTCGTTACCCTCTTTGAATCTCTAAGCACACAAGGATATCTGATGTGAGAACAAACAAAAGATTTTGACAAAATGCAAGTGGTTCCAAAATGTCAACACCTTCCAGGAAAAACAAATATTTTTAATTCTCATCAAAAGTCAAGTGGTTACGCCATTCACAATACCAACTACGAATTGTTCGAATTCCGTGTATCCGCTTCGCTTATCGAATCCACGTATTACTCCGCGCATTGCTCCTTGCAGCGGGGGACTCGTCGGGCGAGTAAGAAGTACAAAAAAACTGAGAATGCAGGTAGGGTGTCGTCGCCGCATTGCGATTACGTAAGCGCCGCGGGTTCGTGCCGACGGATCAAAGACGTACAACACCCGGCCGAAGAAAGCGATCGCTAAAAACAGCTGTAAAAGGCTCTTTTCTCCCCCCGTGGCGGTGCGCTCCCTCCCTTCAAGGCCCACTCGTCCACCGGCGCGATGGCGCCCCGAAGAATAAACGCTACCTACCTCACCTGCCCTACAGCCCCACCTCTAGCTGCGGGCAGGAGGTGGTAAATCGGGAACGGCACTCACGAAGAGGGTTTCCGAATAAGGTCAGGCTCGCAAGACCAAACGTGGGCGCGCGAAACCGAGCGACCAACCGATCGACCGACCGTGGGTCGATACTGCTAACCGGTATCGCGCAAATATCAAATATTGTTTTCCTTTTTTTTTCACGAAGCTTCCTCCATGCAGCGAAAAATCAGTCACTAGGTCCAGACGTGCAGAAAGACCGCGACCGAGTGACGTCGCGTCGAGGCATCGAATGCATTCGACAGTTTCTGAAATAACCTTTGAAGGACTGACTCAGATACTCGTTAACGTGCGGCGAAAAAAAGAAAGCAGATGCCTATACGCGGAATACTCCTCGCGAGCCCGTGTATAATACCTCCGCGCGTAAAGCCTGCTCCGTGTGAATGGCGTTTTAATGATCGCGGCCTTCCCCGTTGGCTCGTGTGCACCTTTTGTAAACCGACATAGCGTTCTATTGTTGATACGTGCAATCTCTGTCCTCCTCTCTTCCTCTCTGTGTATCGAGCGACCGTTCGTAGCAACGAATACTGCGTCAGGGTCAAGGTATATTGCAAACTTTTGCGTTCGCCAATTATCTGCTCAAGTCTCGTTTGCGCAATCAGCGAGAATTCGATCCATCGCGGCCTTTCGCAGAAACCTCACGTTCGCGTTCGTCGATACGTCGATGTTCAAAAACGGAAATGATTCGTGAACGAAGTCGTTCAAGAACGTACCGCGTCGAATTATCCCGAACTGCGCACTGAGAGAAAAAGGAATAGTTTAGATCTAACTAAAAATATAATTATTCTTAGCCATATTGATTGCTTTGGCACAAAAAAAGTAGTTTAGTAAATTTAATTTAAAAAAGATATTTTAATGTCTTCAATCACTCTAAGAAAAAAAATCATTTTGACATTTACTAAAATCTCTTGCTCTTATATCAGATACCCTCGCTTGCTCAGAGAATCGTTTCTCGCAGATGTTTCACTCGCTCCACGTTGCAGAACCTTGTATCGTGTAATGGTTTTCTTCATCATAATTTATAGTGATTATCGCTCTCTCTAGGTGATAACACATAGTTACAAATACCAAACATTTCTTTCGCGGTGCAGACGATCCGGAATTCCCTTCTCGAATTTACTCCTTGCGCTTGGTCCCCGTCACTCCCGGCGTCTCATGAGACGCGTTCGTAAACAGCATCAGTGAACGTTCAAAGAGCGCATCCGCTATCCCGCGTGCGCTCCATCCGTGCGTCGCACCCGGCGCGACGAAAGAAGCGCGCGCGCGCGCGCAGAGAGAGTGACGAGAGACGAGGAGGAATGAGAGAAACGGTGGGCAGGAAACGGCACGACAGAACGATGCCAGCTTACGATAATTACACGTCGACGGGACAACTCCGCCCGTATACGGCCGTGATTCGAACCATTCCCGGAGCCGCCGACCGACCTCGCGCGCCTGCCTCGCGGCTCGACTCGACTCGCTCCGGCTACACCGTGACGGATGAATCATTGTCTGTATTAAGTCCTGACTGACATACGCGTTTCGCCGAACGGAGGAAAGATGCGGTTCTGTGTCGTGAATTTTTTCTCCCGCCTCTCTCTCTCTCTCTCTCTCTCTCTCTCTTTCTCTTTCTCTCTCTTTCTTGCTCGCTCGCTTAAGCCGTGTAACTGACAAATTAATTGGACACTCGTGGGTGTGTATAAATTAATATGCAGACGACTTCATTCGAATCGCGGATTTTACGGCGAATCGGCGCAACCGAGATCCCCTTAATAAACATATCGTTATGAGCGTTATCTCCCTCCCATTTTGGAGATTAAGCGGATTTACCTGACGAAGTCTGACTGGTAACAGGTTTATGACCTGCCGACACAAGTCGGCTTTCCTTCATCCTGAGACAATTAGTTTATTGGGGTAGCTTGTAGAAATTGGCGGATAAATACACAAACAGCGATCAAGCGCGGCCGAAAATAATACGTCGTTTAACTATCTCGCGAATCCATTCGATGTATCGCTAGTCACGAAGCTATTATTAAATCTTATCAACGCAATAAGCCCGCAACGTGACGATTAATGCGACTCCGTATTATCGGGGACGATTAGCGATTTTATCGATAAGTCAATGTAATCAAATCAATATTGGTACACACGCGTTTAGCAAGAGTTTCGCATTTACCAGCGAGTCAGGTGAATCAATATCTGACCGTGTGACAACAGTACGAAATGGCATTTCGCAGCGCGAAATCGTCGAGAACGCGAATGTTAATGCGCCGAGAATTCACGTTTTTTAGCATTGTTCGCGAATGTACGCCGCGAAATCGCGACTGCAATGGTTGTCAAACGCAAAGAGGTGCACTCTCTTGCGCCCCTCTTATGGTGGAGAATCCAGCCACACGACATAGCTCGCGGTTATTCACGCTCGGCAACTCTCGCGAAGGCACACACAGCATTACGGCGCGCAGACAAACAGACGGATGGACGGACGGTCCCTTATCGAGAAACGTTTGGCTCCGCGTTCTTATCCCGGACATATATAATATGACGCGGTGTCGGGACAACAATGATGTATCAGAGATCAAAGCTCACCGATATCTTCTCGCTATCGGTATCTACGACTTTCGCCGTGAAACGATAAACAATCGTTATCAGTGCGAATCGCCGTATCGTGCTGTGCAACCGTGACAGCGGAAGCCCGATATTGTAAACGGTACCGCAAACGGCCCCTCGAGTAAATCGAAATACGATACCCTTTTATGAAAGTAACACTTACCGCGCCATATTGACAACGGAGATAAATTAGCAATCGACTGCGGAAATGTTCTGAAGACAAATTGAAGGAGCTTAGAAATTGTTCGCCCGTATTTCAAGAATAACGAAAGAATTTGGAAGGAATTAGAGATTAATCTAAATTGCAAGTAAAAATGATCAGAAATTATATTTGATATTGATTTAGAGAATCGAGAAAAATTTCACTTTCAAGTGCAACTTCAGTTGCAACGTCAAACATGATGACGTCAATTTCAGTAACACGTCACTGGCGTATCTAACGTCAATAATACGTCATTAATACTTCCAAGTAGTATAATGACGTCATCCTCCTACTCTTAGGGAAATTTTAAACCGCCCTGTTACAGGAATATCTGATGTTTTGCTTTAATAGAGGAGAAAATAATTAAAGAGAATAATGATGGAAATCTTAATTTTTGTACACATGTGTTCTAAATATTCCAAGTGATGTATGCAAAGTTGCACATTGTAATTTGAGAAGATAAGAATGTAAAAGAGAGTCAGAAATAATATAAAATAAAAATTAAGGAAAAGAGAATATAAATATAAAATAATAAAAAATATATAAGAAAATATAATAAAATATATAAAAAAATAATATAAAATAAATAAAAGAGTATAGAAATATGATGATGAAATAAAGATGTTATTATAGGAACTCAATTTTGCTGAATTTCATGACTCAAGATAAGGCCTAAAGTTGCTGCAATCTTTATGCTTATCGATTTATCGGGGTCGACAATGCGTTCCTAACGAGACATCGCACGCGGAGGAGGCATCCGCGAATCCCCACGCGTTCCCGCGACATTTCGCCGTCGATACGATCAATACGGTGTTACGGGTGAAGTTCGGCCAAACGTTTTAGGAACATGCACGCCGTATGTATCATCGATTTGTCGCTCGAGATTTTCCACGATCGCGTCGCCCACTTGTCTTGCTCCCGAGCCGCTGCCTTCTATAGTCGTATCTCCTCGCGACCAGGTACTTTCGACCCACGTGCGTGCCACATACGCAACACGGGGGCCGCAATATCGGGACCGCGATTGCGCAACGACGCGTTTACTTATTTTTACGCGGTGGCGATTCGCGTGGACGCCTACTTGTACGGTGTTAAAAAGCAAAATAAGCGAATATGAAGACGCGCGATCAATCTCGAAAACCTAGGAAAGCTCCTTTAAAAAAGGAACGACACTTTATTCCGCTGGGTAGCGTACATGCGTGCGTGTCGCGGAAATAGCGTGTGCGTCGCGTCGTTTTGTTATGCTCGCTCCGCGCGGACCTCGTTACCGCGCTACTACGCGTTTCCTTACTTCTATTACGGAGCTTTCACGTTTACACCGTGCGGTCTATTGTCTGCGATCGTTTCAACTGCGCCCGTTCGCCAATCTTATATCGCTTTATTCTGCTCCGAGCGATTCGGCAGTCTAATATGCTTCACGAGAGAGGTGTCGGCATGTAGACTTTTCTCCGATTCAATAAGAAGGAAGATAAGACCAAGGAGGAAACCGCGTCTGATAATCCTCCAAATCGAAACAGCGTGAGAAGAATTCGCGTGAATTCCCCGAAAGGAATTCGCGAATAAATGAAAATCAGCACGAGAGAGATTCGTCAGTTCAAAAATAAGTCTCACCTTTTTCAAATGCTTGTTCACCCACTTCGTAAAGGTCTTCTTCTGTATGGCATCCCGTTCGTCTGTGAACACACGAAAGAACAGATATATCAAGAATGTGTAATTATACTGTGATTTTTGGTGGCTATTGTGTCATGACAACGCGCGGATCATTACGTTAGACGATGATATAGTTTCATTTAGAACGTAGCGCGAATCACACCACGTCTATCGCCGTCGGCACTTACGATATATAGATTACTGCGAAAATCGAATTTCGCAATTCGTCACGCTGATAGGTATGTATAACAGTGACACCGTATCGTGACGGTGTAACGTTATGCTCGGCTCTAGCATGACAACGAGCGTCGTGACGCAACGCCACCTCGAAATAGGCCTTTTTTTTAAAGGATGGTCGAGGTCAGTATAACGAAATCAAAGTCGCAGGCAACCGGATCGGGTCATGTCGGATGAGGTCAAGCAGGTAGGCAAGCGAGTTAGAGCAAACGGAAGGTCGGTTGCCTTGGTGAGCCGCTTGATCAGTTAGCATGCGAGTCAAAAATCCGAACAATAAATCATACGAGTAAGAGTCAAGTCCAATTAAAATTCAGAGATTACAATACACTGAGAGAAGAATATCCAAGAAATAAAAGATACTTATTCAATGAATACTAATAACACATTTACTTATACTGATATAAGATATGTTTTCAAATAAGAAAATACATATTTTCTTCCAAACTTAACTTTTTATAAAAGCAATTATTTATTTTATTTAAATGAAAGAACTTAGATTTAAGTATGTTATTACACAGAGAGATAAGTTTGATTGAATTAAACAAATGTCTAATGAAATATAAACAAGCAAGAAATTCCGATTGAATTTGTTAGTATTCTATTCAAGTCAATAAGATTTCTGATTAATCAGAACTTGTAATTTCCAATTTAACTAAAAATTTTGTTGAACAGAATTCTAGTAACTTCAACCGGATTTCTGATTCGTTCATATTTCACTAGACATCTGGGTTACTCCAAGCAAACTTCTTTTCTCGTGTAAGTACCCACCGGATAAATATTTCTTATTTTTTAGATATTTTGCTCTCAATGTAGGGCACAGAATTACATTAATTGCATAATTTATACATAAACAGGTATTTTAATATTTTTTGCTCGATTTTGCTTATATTGTCCATGGAACATCCAATGACTAATTATCGACTGAATTTCGAACGTCACGCAAAGCCGAAATTATCATTCAAGACTTGGTCTTGTCGTGCGTCGTCGTGAGACGCAATGAGTGCGTGCAATCGCAAGGACGTCTGCGTCACACTTCGGCTTTTCTTACGAATTATAATAATGATTATAATCTCGCAACGTAATCGCGCGATTACTGTAGCATAGCATGCATAAATAAATAATGACGCACGCATTCCCGAAACCAGCTGTCGCGTCGCGACAGAAATTCAACATGTTTGGTCATTGCGTTCTTGAAACGTCGCTGTAATAACAGTCATATATATATATATATATATATATATATATATATATATATATATATATATATATATATATATATATATATATATATATATATATATATATATATATATATATATATATATATATATATATATATATATATATATATATATATATATATATATATATATATATATATATATATATATATCGATGAAGTTTCGTTGCGAACACGATAATAGTAAATCGATTTTTCATTTATCGGCAATTAATCATGGATAATCGGCGTAAAAACTCATAAGGGACGTACGCATAACGGGCTACGGTTTACTACGTACACTCTCGACACGTCATCGTTGTGGCCCGTGAAAAGTTCACGCTACTTGAGCGACGGTATCATCGACTGGGTATGTTAGAAAGGTCGACAAGCTGACGGTAAGTGTCAGTCTAACGCCGACGCAGACGATACAGAATAAGAGAGGTAAAGAGTTACCCACTGTAATACACTTCTAGATTTAGAAATATCTCGAGTGGCTTGTTCTGCGAACGATCACACTCTCCGAGTGCGCCTGTCACTCTCGTAAGAATATCACCATCAGATATCTCAATGAACAAGAATGCACGCGGTCCAACTGCCATGCCCCATCGGACACGCAACGTGTCAATTGTTAAAAATAGTACGCGAATGCGAACGAAGCGTTATCGGTAGGTGTGATAATGAGATCCGCAAAGCGATACAACGAGGATCTCGCATTAACCGTATGCAAATTCGTGCACGACGGCCTTCGCTTCGAGCTTTTTTTCCAGAATGCTGCGGAATTCTCGCGTGACAAGTAACACGGCGGAAACCTCGCTTAGTATGAACGTAAGAGAAGTTTATTAATGTCTTATACGCACGCATGTGCAAGCACCCGCGGCCCCGCGTGAGTTTTACAGCTCAACTTGGATGAAATCGCACAATTCGCCGTAATCTGCGAACCGGGCATTTGTTCTTCGCCGATTAACTCTCACCTCGTGGTGTGTTGGGCCGATCTTTGACCTAGTTCCAATAGCTTGCCAACAACCCCGAAACTGCGCTAGATAATTGTGGCTCGGCCAACATTTAACGAGTAACAATATCATCGTCAAAAAGAAGGCCGCGGTTTGCGCAGCGGGTCAGACGCATCAATGCTCTGTGGTGGTTTATTAATTTATGGCGGTTTCGCGATGCTTGCATCTGTCTCTGAAAACTAAAAACCTGGGTCAAGGAACTTCCTTAAACGCAACCCTTCTGACACCAGGAAAGTGAAACGCGTGAATACGATCCTGCTCCATTTATTTGTCAATTATAATGTCCGTACGTTGTACTTGTGCTATTCTTATATTAAATATGAATTGAACGTGTATTAATGAAGAGAGACACGAAAAGGAATCGTCTTAATCCCCTCCCCTCTCCCCTATGCTTGTATACGCAAAAAGATGAAACGAGTTTCGAGAAGAAAAAAATTTAGTTGGTGTAACTTTTTTTATACAATCAACTGAATTCCGAACGGCACGCGAAGCAGAAATTATCATTCAAGACTTGGTTTCGTTGTCGTCATCGTGAGATGCAATGAGTGTGTGCAACCACAAGAACGTTGCGTCACACTTCGGCTTTTCTTGCGAATTAATAATGACTATGTTCTCGCAATGTAATCGCGATTATTGTAGCATAGCATGTATAAATAAATAATGACACACGCGTTCCTGAAAGTAGATAGTGTTTTAACGATAGTGTTGTACACATCCGCAAGGCGCTAAATTCATTTCCAACGTTATATACGTTTGAATAAGCTTTGTAACATTTTGAGCGTAATTAAATACAGTTAAAGGGAGCATTCATCGAAAGTGAGAGAGAGAGAGAGAGAGAGAGAGAGAGAGAGACGATCTAATCTGTTACATCTCGCGGCAAAATTTCCAGCGTAATCAGTTATCAGTATTTACGTCGGTTGTGAATCTTGAATGAAGTCATGGTCTTCCTAACGGCTGCATCCCGGGGTAAAGTATCGACGAGAAATTCCGATCGTGACTGACCGAATCATTATTAGACGAGTCTATGTCAGATCAACGTTCTGAACATGAAATGACATTGGCTCGCGATGCTAAAATCGATACTTTGGATATTAACAAGTATTAGACATTGATCGAAACTCAGGGAGGGTTGCTTTCGATCTCTATCAGTTGTGCAACTACGACCTACAACCGATCGCAAACTAATTCCCGGAGAATCCAATTCTCAATGCCACAATCACGGAGATGGGTTTGCGTGAATCGTCGGTCATTAATCGGCGTGATTGCAATGCCTCGTTTTCGCCAATCTACGCCTATGAACAACCGGATCTCACAATCAGACCCGTGGAAATGTAATTGCGATTTGCGAGAAAACGTCACTTTACTAACGTCAAGCTTTCTACATCACCGACTGTAAAATTCGACTGAAAATTCTGTAACTCTTAACTTCGTGATGACCTATCACAGTTGAAGTCAATTTCTCGCTTGGACTAAAGTTATTTAGTGTCTGTTTGATGCCTCTTTAACCATTCATGTACGAAGGCGTAAGAGGTCGGTAAGAGGTAAGAGGAGAGCATCATAAAGACTCATGAACTAATCCCGAAGAAATGCGTTCGCACATACCGTCGACGTATTCTTTCTTCAGAATGAGTCCTTGTTGGCGGGGGCACGGATGCTGGAATGTGGACGTTCCGATAACGGTGATTGATGTTACAAGGGCGGAAGATAAATATTCAATGAACGTATTCATCGGTATCTGGTCTTTTCGGATATTCCTGACAGCAATTTCGATGATTCACTTGAGATCAATCTCACACAATGTGTCCATTCGTTGAGTATTTGGTAAATGCAAAAGTGCCGCATTTAAACGATAATAAATTTTGCTATATATATATATATATATATATATATATATATATATATATAAGTATATATATAACATATATATATATATATATAAGTTTTATATATATAACTACGCATATCGTGATATTAATACACGGCCTTGGCTAAAGCAGCGGGCGAAGCAATTTCAATGGATCATGGTGATGCAAATTTTTGTAAGCTTTTGTCATCCGTGCGTACCTTATCTATTTTGTGCACGCAGAACGAACATTCGTCAAGTGAGCGTATCGTGTTCGAGGAACACCTCAGTAAGAACCATGGAAGAGGCACGCCTCGCAAGCATGATTGACATCTCCGACTTTTATATCTCGTGGCCACTCGCGAGCGACGACGCGCGTGCATTTTACGCTTCCGTTATTAATTGCCCGGCTTAGTTCCACGTTGCGCTCGCGCAGGCAGGAGGAGGTCGTAACGCGCGGATGAGAGACTCTCGATTTCATAATACACGTCCTTCGCCGTCGGCAGCCGTCAAAGAACCCGGAGGAGTTCCTCTAAGCGCACGCGTGATACGAAGGCAACGTCGGTTGATAACGACGTAACGGCCGCTCACGTCACGAACTGAATTACTGCCGGACACGATTGCCAGTAATTACGATAAATTAACGATCAATCCGAGACGTAGTGAAAGATACGGACTGACGTCATCGAATGTGTGCCTTCCGGCCGTTTACTTTTGCGTTAAGTGAAAAGTGTTGGGCGTCTTACATCGTCGTCATACGCAATCCGAGTGGGCAGAGAGATAGAAGGATTATGAAAAGCGACGGCTATTGTTTATTGTTTTTCTATTCGGCTCGCGTTTGTGAAATAGCGCATTGCGAGGTAGTCTAAGGCGTGGTGTACACCGAATCGAAAAGAAACGTACAAACGATACGTACTAGCGTTGCCTCTTCCGTACAAAAATTTATTATGTCACGTCAAACTCTATGATTTCACCTCGGAATCAGATAAGAAATATTGAGAAACGCTAGTCTAATCGAACGATGAAAGAGGACCGCTGCTTTTAGTTATCTATCCGTTCATCTTGAATATACACAATGAGAGTATGAATGTCCTGCACGTAGAATATATACAGAGTGTCCGACAATTCGTAAAAGAAAAGCAGTAAAAGAAAATTTTTTACAATGAAGATTTATAAATTTTATAAAAATATTATGAAAATTTATAAATTTTAATTGTAAAAAATTCCTTATTTTTTCATTCGCAAAACTTTTCAATTTATCCTCGTTCAAAACAATTTTATGTTCAGTTTGATGAGTTCTACTTATATACGAGACTGCTATACAACAAATTTATTTTTACTTCAACGTAATCACCTTTTAATTGATTACTTTGACGTAATCATCTTTTAAATGAATACATTTAGTAGTAAATGATACTGATAGTCTAACACATGATGAAGCATAACTTTATATATTAATTTTCATTAGCGCTATCTTTTTACAAGTTACGGGTACAAGTTCGCACCTTTTCATCTTCGTATATTAGATCAAATTAAACAAAAAAAGTCCTGTTTGACGAGTTCTACCTGCGTATAACGGATGTGTCAATAATAGTCAGACACCCTGTATATATATGCTCGACGTTGCTGAAAGCTAAGGCGAAGAGGCGACACATATATCTAATCTCCAAAATGTTTATATCAAACAAACGCTGCCAGCGCGATTCGACAGACCGATGCCTCAGTGTTAGTAAAAACCAATGTCACACCGTGTGAGTTGAAATCGATAGTCCACAAAAAGGGGCGCAGAATAGAAAAGAAAAGGAAAAAAAAAAGAAGAAACACAGGAGAAACAGGCAACTCTGGGGAAAATCTTGGATCCAGCATCCGCATGCCAACTGTCTCCCTCTTCCCCACCACCTACCGTGCGCCTCAATGAACATCGCCCAGCAGCCCCAGAAAGCCTGGGTGTTGCCGGCGCGGTGTTCCCCGACATCGCCATTGCACCACCGTCCCGGACCGTCCTCCGAGAATCCGTTTGCATTCTGACCTTTGAACTTGGAGAGGGACTCCTCGTAGCCGTGCTGGGAGCGTTGCTCGCGCTGATGCTCGGCCACGGTGTCCGCCGGGTCGAAACCGAGCCGCTCCTTGTAGTAAGCCTGGGTCGACATCCTGTCCTTCTCCGGGCCCCGGGCCGTCCCAGCGAAGAAGAGAGTGCAAGTTTCAACGTTCATGCCCGGCCACGCGAACTACCATGACACACTGTACGCGCGCTCGACGCGATCGCGGAACCGACACTGGCTTCCCGCCGCGCGTCTGATAAGCACGACGCGCTCGTAACTCGGCCGCACGCCAAGCTGATTATTCGGCGGCGTAACAACACTCGTTCAATCTCGTCGATCGTCCGACGACGTTCGCCCGTGTGTACAAAATCGCGCACTGGTCCCTTTGGCTTATCCAGTCACCGTACGATTGCCTTTTGACTTCAGCGTGAGCTACACTTGGCTCGAGCGTATTTTCGCAAACATCTGCCTGTCTCTCTTTCCGTCTCTCTCTCTCTCTCTCTCTCTCTCCTTTCCTCGAGGTTCACCCTTCGAGTCGGAGGAGCTTCCAGTATTTGATTCGATCGTTCGATGAGTGGCTTCTCGTTTGTTTCGTTCTCTTATTTTCGTTGCTCGGCGACGCGACGGAATGCTCGACGCGGGATCATCCGCCGATTATCGCGCTGCTGTTTACCGCGGCGCCGACGACGACGTGCGCCAGCTTCGGCTGCTGGAACGCGATCGGTTTCTCTCGACCCTCCCGCGTCGTTGTTCGTGGAATCGGCCAAGGATTCTCTCACCTTCGAATTCCAACCTGTCGCGCGTGCGCGCGCGCGCACGCCCGTACGGTGTATGCAAATGCGAGCGAGCGCCGTGTATATCCGCCCGACCTCGCCTACGATATGGCACTTTGTGAATTCTCGAAAAACACCCGACCTGTCTGTCGCGTGCTCCTGTCAGCACGGGGATGGAGAACCTGCGACAACGACAACGCGCAATGTGCGAGTAAGATTTTGCGAGGGTAAAGCGCGCGAAAAGGGGATGACACGCGGAGAGAACCCTCTCGACGGTCTAGACTAATATTTCAGTATGTCCAAACGAAATCGTGAACATTTTATCTGCCAGCATCGTGTGAGAAATATTTCGACATTTTCCATTGCACAAACCGACGTTGCAATAGTCTCCCACGATGTAACTTTGTTCGTGTTATCATTAACAATACTGTAATATTATCACGACCTTGGTGTCTCGCGTCTTCTGTTTGTACGACTCTCAAGTACGGCGGGGAAATCGAGAAGTTGTAGAAAAATAATGGGAACCAAGAGAAACGACGCAGGTGGGAGTGGAAAGGACGATCGATCGATATATCCGTGAGAGATTAGAAATCGGCGGCCTTGATGCATGCCTAAGTAAGGAACTCGGGAACTCGATCATGCTTTTACACGCCCGACCATCGCAGCTATTATCCTACGCGCGTCCATCAAATTTGTAATCGATCAGCCGGCATATTAAGCTAACGACCAGGGGAGAGAATAGCCCCGCTGTAACAGCGGTTGTAAAACACATCGCAAAGGGTAAATATGACTTTAATGGGTGATTCATCCACAGCTCGCAATGTTTCCCAATTCCACTTATCCACGAGAGAAGGTTTCCCGGCGGTTCTGTGACGCGAAACTCCAGTCACGCAACTCGACGCAAAGCCGATGAAATAAATCTCCCGGAAATCAACGGGAACAGCAACGAATCGAACCGCGGATTACTAGGTTGGGTGCGAAGTATACCGCGCAGCAGCGCACTACGAGAACATAAGCGAAACCAGGTGGTTAACCAGGTTGAACTAATGCCCGATTACTGTTCGCGTCCAAATGTCGAACGGTTATCACGCGAACAGCAGCTTCTATCTTTCTCGAAATCATACGCAGCACTGCAACAATGCCTACGGCGCGGACTTACGGTCGGAATGAAACGAGAGGTTACGAGCGGAAAGCGAAGTCGGACGGCCGGCGACGGCGGCGGACAGATCGAGCGACCCTTTCAAACTGACGATCCGCGAGGAGACTGAGCGCCGACGCATACGCCTGGCACCGGCGAGGCTTAAGACACGATGGAAGCGCGCCTCCTAACCGCGAGACCGAACTCCCCGCATATGGTAAACGGAGAATGGGTACGTGGGTGCCTCCGTGGTCGGTGCGTGTCAGGAAGGGTCGTCATGGACCAATTCGCCCGACGCGACGGAGGCTGCCAGACGCACCTATACTACCGTTCGGTAGTTGTCGCTTTCTCTCTCACTCACTCCCTCCCCTCCTCACCCCCCCCCCCTCACCCTTCCTCCCTCTGTCGAAATAAAAAAAGAAGGTAAAAACTCGACGCTCTGCGAAGAGCGAGTTCGCAGTGTATGGTAATGCGTGTAGTCGCGGCGACGCACATACACGCGCGATCGGGTCGATGACGCGACGCGCGGTTGGCCGATCGCTGCACTTGCAGCGTCGTGGACCATGTCGCCGCGTGCAGCAATCGGGCCACGTATGCATGTACGCACGTACGCGCATACAGGCGAGAGCCGGTCGTCACTCTTGCCTCCGCCTGAAATTAGAAACGGAAAGAAAACAGAATGACGGGGACGCCACGCGCCATGCGGTTTAGGTGAGGTCATTCTACGCGCGCTCGTCATTATGTCGCATAGAAAGCTCGGCGAGGAAAGCTGCTCGGCTGAAACGCCCCGGGTTCGCGGCAAAAGCCGAAGCATAAAACGAGAAGCGACATCCGGTCGCAGAGAGGTCTGGTGGCTCCTCGAGGGGCACAGAAACAGTCGCGGAGAGACTACACGCGACGTTGCTAGACGCGCGAAACTAATTAACGCCGAGAGCCCGAATCAAGATTCAAGTCTGAATTCGTCCTTCGTCTCTTTCGCCTCGTTCTAGATTCAATTCGAGCGCATCCCCCGGCTCCTCGAATTCAATTTGAGCTAAATGCCAAGCGAGGAGAATGCATCCTTTGCCGCCCGTTGACCCGCGACGTGACTTTAATTGATCTCATGTACGCGTCGAGACACGCCTATAATGGACGAGCCCTTGTTAATTCATTAAACGCCGAATGGGCCGTACGAGAGGCTTCTCTCGTCTTCTCGCTCTCTTAATGTCCCCGAGAGAGCTGAATCACGCGTTCTGAGAAACTTACTCTCTCGCATCGTCGAGTGCATACGCACGTGTGCCTTATATGAGCACGGTCTCTGCTTGCACAGAGCGCGTCATACGTCGCGCCGACGAGCGAGCGAACGTAAAGGTATGCCAAAAACGCGGATGCATCGAACAGGATCCGTCAATAGGAGCACTATGACCGGGCGTTGCGCCTTAGAGACGAGCAACTGTCTAAAGGGGCGCGCATTAATATCTATCCGATGCATTAGTATCTTTTCTCTCTATCTCGCGCGCACGAGTGCGGAAGAAGCTGTCGGTCAGACGAGCAACGGCGACGAGACAGTTAACGAGCAAGCTTCTCAAAATACAAGGAGCACGAAACATCGACGATATTACGGCCGGCTGCTTCGTAGTCGCGCGCACCGCAACATTCGTGTAACGTGTACATTGCTCGTGAGCAAAGTATCGTTCGATAATCGACTTTCCACAAGCGAGAGTTTATTGACTCTGGCGTTATTTATGTCCTTGAGTCTTTTCTCTCGTCTGCTTCATATTTATATCTGTCTAAAAATTACAGAGAGGAGAGGAGCAAATCAGATATTGATCGATCGGAACTTTCCTCGACTACAATAACTCGAACAAATGTAATCATCAAATGTAAAATCACTAATGGTTTTTTTTTATTAGTGAAATCACTAATGGTTTTTTTATTAGTAAAATTAATTATTAATCACACTTTGATATGAGTGATCATACAGCAATTAATACTTGATTTCATCAATCGATAAAATTATCCGCGATTATACGTAGGACGATTGATTAATTTCGATTATTCACTCGCCAGTTATGCTGATCGAAGAAAGTTTTATTCAATTAATCCCCAACACTGCAGCAGCTGCTCCGGACAAGAACTCGATCTCGGGTCATACAACTCTGAATATCAATGACAGAATAATTCAATTGAACGTCAACGTGAAATACACCGGAGTTAAATTCGTTCGATCTTGGCGAGCCCCATCAAAATATGGCGAGAGAGGGTCACCACGAACATTCCTCGTGAGAGCGAAGAGGAACCGGCGAAAGAGAGGAAGGCACGCGCGCTCGTATCGCGAGCGGCATAACGCCAGCTACACGGAGGCCGGCTCGGCGGCATTCTTGCGCCAAGTCGCATAACGGGTCCGTATAGTCGATCTCGGTCCACTCCCGGGGCCCTGTGTGCGAGGAGGTGACTCCCTGCGCGGACGCGATCAACCTTGAAGGAGAGTCTCCGCCGAGGCTAATCGAGTCGCGCGCCCTTCGCGCGGGTTACGAAAAGACGCCTTCACGTATAACCGTGGACTTTAATATCCGTATTGTCGTCTTTACGGCATTAATGAGAGGAGCGTAGCCACGACGAGGGGGACTCTCGATCGGCCCTTAAATGGCTGCATGAGCCGCCTGAGTATGTGGGTTAGCGCGAGAAACAACGACACGAAAGCGCGTTCGCACGGATGTCACGAGCGGTATACTTCGCGAGCAGGTGAGGAGAGTTTCCGCGCGGCGGAGGCGTCATTTACGCGAATGCGAGCACACATCCATCGTGTGCTCGAGTGTGTGCAACGCGGTCGCCGCCAACGTCGAATATCCGCCGTGAGAGGGAATCGCGGCCGTTCTTATTGCGATTCGCGTGTTTCAACCCTCCGCGTATAACGTCGAGATTTGAGTCAGAAAGATTTGTACAGATGATAGTTAATTCATAGAGAACAAGCGCAAAAGAGGACAGACACGTTTGTAAAAGTGGAAACAATATGTCATACAGCCATTTTATCCAACAGGGGAGACTGAAGACATCGCGCGACAAGGTTGCTGAACTTTAAAAAGGAAAGAACAAATGTTGGGTCTGAAACCCGAACAAATGTTCGATCGCTCGCCAACTTTCGTAGAGGCTCCGAGACAAAAGTGCAGCCGAGTTTCGTCCCTTTTTCGTAGCAACAATGAATATTCGAATAAATAATACATCGATTTTTTTAAACTTAAGGAGACTTAAATAGATATTAAGAACACTATCTCAAAATTATTCTCGTAACAGTTTGGAAAATAAATGGCTCAAAAGATTGCAATCTTGACAAACAGTCATACTATTGACATCGCAATCTTTTGAGCCGTTTATCACCCGAACGGCTACGAAAATAATATATTGAGATTTTATATTCTTAAAATCTACTCGTCTTATATAAGCTTTAAATCGATATATCATTTATTGGAATATTCAAAGTTTTTGAAAAATGGGCGAAATATATCTATCCGGGCTTGACCACACTCTCTCAAAATAACGCAAATCTGTTTGTAGATTTTGATTCTATTGCGCTGCTATCTTGTAGCTGAAGCTTCTCTGTACCTCTAGGAAAAATGTGCTTAGAAATATCAATTTTCCACAAAGTTATGGCAGTTGGAAGTTGGCCAGACCTGACAGACCCAGATTATATGGTGTATCCTCAAACAACATGATTGGACGGTTAAGACTATCCGCGTCGGCGCGCATCGTCTCATGGACCTCCGAATAGAATCGTCTTCGTCGCATGAAATCATAGAATTCGCTCGTAAACACAGGGACTTACTACCTGCGTCGCTACCAAGAATGGAAAACTCGGACGAGTCGAATTCGCGTTCTCAGTTTCGAAAGGACGGGACCGGTTAGCACGTACATTAGGACCGAGGCCCGAAGCGAGGCCCACCGATGCTTAGACGAGTCCGCCCACAATCGAATCGCCCTTCAAACAACCGCGTGAGAACAAACGACCCGAATCCGCAAAATTCACCAAGTAAGGACATTTAGTCGTCGGGATCATCTTCAAATGCCTCGTCCCGCTCTTTCCGCTAAGAGCATCGTTTACTAGAGGACACAATGAGTTCACCTGCTCGCCTGCAGCACGCAGGGGGATATATAAGTCGAGAAAACAACCGGGAATGATTTCATCTCCTCGTCCATCGAGGAAACGCACCAATCGTTCGCTAGAAACGCGAGGCACGTCATTCACGATAATTTGCATTCGACTGAAAGCATCGCGGTATATTGAAAAAAGTGACAGGTGCTCGGCTGCAGGTAGAATAACAGACAGAGAGGAAAAGTAAGAGCCCCCTCGAGAAGTGGGAGGAACAGTCGAGGAGTTTGACGATGACTAAATCCGTCACAAACGGTGAATAATAACGGAAAGATCGCGGAACGAAATTCGATGCGATCACGATCGAAGAATTTGCCATGAGAGCGGCTGGAATACAGAACAAACGAACGAAGGTAGGGCTTGTGTGTGCCGCGGCGCTTTTTGTCGGGGAAATTTCCGGGAAAAACGAATTAACGGCGACCACTGCGCTGAGCCAATTCGAGCAAGAGTTTCGCGATCCAACCAAATTGAGAAGTCGTGCGCGCACACATATGCACACGGATCGGCTAAACGCGCGCGTCACATGCGTTCCCCGTGCACGTCCACCTCGACCAGTTTTGTCGTGCGACTTGTCGACTCGCCGCCGCTGTCGCTGTTCGCTCGCGGCGTCTATATGTTACATAATCGTCGTATCCCGATAAAAACGACTTTCTTCTTTCCCCATACAGCAATTACGTCGTTCATCTCGTCTGACGTCGGTGCGCAACTTGAAAAGCGACACCGCCTGTTCGCCGACGTGAAGATGCATCAAACACGATACATCTTGGAAATTACTAATGTTTCAAACGTGTGTCTGCCCTGACACGATTCAAGGAACATCGCTTATGCATCGGTCGCCATTAAGCAATCTAGGTAAATTACTTGCGTTTTTACCTCGTGCCAGACCTGTCGGACTCTCGCGTGACATCATCGATAATAAACAGATAAACACGCAGCGCTTAACTGACGGTCAACTATGTATCTGTAAATGCTGTTCACGATGAATAGTCCGTGAAATAATAAAAAAAAAGAATACTCGCAGTCATAGCAAAGATTATCTATATACGAGAAATTAGCTGAGACTAGAATAAATGACTAGCAAACATTGCGATATCGCGTATGTCTCGCATTTGATCAATATAGATGACAAGACAGAATTTCTACCAGAATTTCTACATGCGAAATTTAACGAGGAAGTTTCTCTATGGCGCCCATTCGAATTAGAGCCAGTCACACTTTTTATAAAAGTGATTATGTGACAGGAAAAAAAAGAGACTAGAGTGACGAGAAACAAATGTATAATCTTCATACACACCGAAATTTGCTTGCAGATATTGCTGCTGTAATCACAGGCAATTCCCCAGCAAGTACAAAAGTGAAAAATTTTGATTGTGACATTTAAAATTCTACCTGGACTAACGAAACATTTTTTTCTTAGTGTAAGGCGTTAAACGTCATGTGGTCACCGGTGAGGCATTTGTTTCTTCAAGGGCCGGTGTGTCCACCGATATGAGTCACACGCATTAGGACAACTATACTTTCCATACTACCATGGCGTGACACATTTTCACGTACACGATCGATCGAACGCTCCGGCGCTAAGTGCGACATTAGTCACTTACGTTATAAAAGTTCAACAAACTTAGACTTGACGCTTTCCACGAAATTGAAACATAACTTATCGCGGTGCTCGAATCGGTGCCATCGCGACTCTGGTGTCAACGAAACGTTTCCAGCTGATAACAGGTGCGTATACACGCGCGGGCACGCGCTCACTAATGATAAACAGGCGCAAAAGTCGCGGTGCTAGAAAGAAAAGGCGTATCCATTGATATCAACGTATCGATCGATAGAAAACAGAGTGGGAAGGAGAGGAACAGAGAGAGGGAGAGAGAGCGTGTCGGAACGGCTGCGATTAAACCAGGCGTGTGACTCAAACAGACGCTTAGCGCTGCCACGCTGTTCAGGAATACCTTTGCGTGTTGAGTACTATAAAATGGTAGTATAAAATGGTATTACCGGCGACAAACGATGAAAGATAAACCGAAGTCATTTCGACGAATTCCCGACATTACGAACAAACAAAGAAGAGAGACACATCTCACGCGAATCGTTAAAAAATCGAAAAAATTAGCACCAAGTCTCGAGCATGTCGGAAATGGCACAAAAATTTCGAAGCTAATCCTTGGTTTCTCTCCGTGCACGTGTCAGTATCAGTGGAATTCCTCACGCCACTAGGCGACGAGGTTGTCGCAACCGACGAAAATACCGTAAACGCGGTGTAGTCACGTCAGCGACCGATAACGTAAACGCGCGGTCAGGTTCACTCAGGGAAGAAACATTGGCGTTTACCGTGTCCGAGGAACGGTATCGCGAGGACTCTGCCTGCGTCAACGTTACTGCAGTACTCTCCAACCACTACGTACCTACTGGACTAGAATAATGTCACTGACACCCGCGGAACGAACAAACACACTAGACTGAAACACGAGCGAGCGAGCGACCGCTGTGTTCTCCGCATCCTCCGGTGCGCGAGCGCGCACGAGCACAAGTTCACTCCTCGTGCGGCGGGCACACGCGCGTTGCGCGACACAGTGGCGACCGGGCGCGATTCGAAACGTGGCACTGCGAATTCCTCCTTCTCTCTCTTTCTCACGCGTAGCGTACGCACGCGTGTATATGTATATCGCATACGACGCGACGACGACGACGACGACGACGACGACGACGACGACGACGAAAGCGGCGACGCGTAGACGAAGTCACCGAACGATCCGGAGCGGAGGCTCGCGTTGCGTCGCGTCGTGAGCCAGGTGCTAGAGCGACAAGGAGGACCGTACGAGATGCAGGACGGAGAGAAGGAGAGAAGGATAGGAGTCAGGCGCAAGGACGGAGGCGGCAGCGACGAGAGAGGAGCACAGGGACACGCGGTGAAGTGGGAGAGCGACAGAGAGATCCAGTGAGAGGGAGCGGAAAGACGAAAAGACAGAGAGAGGGGGGAGGAAGGAGGAAGAGAGAAAGAAAGAGACAGAGAAGAGAGCGCGCTGAGAGAATTGGAGAGGACGCGGTATGTCGCTCCGCCGTGCCAGGCCACGTCGCCTCGGAACGCAGACTGCCGACGCCTGGACAACTGCCGCCCACCCGGCCGGCCGGCTCTCCCTCGAGAGCGAGATCCGAGAAACGTACCCCTTCTACCCCCCTCTCCTACAGCGTCCCCTAAGCCTTAGCACGACGACGAGCGTCCTCACTGCTCCCTCTGGCCGACCTCGTCGTCGTCCGCGCTCCTGCGGAAGGCGAAGGACCATGCTCTGATAGAGGGGGAGTACGAGGAGTACGAGAGTAGGAGAGAAATAAATGAGGAGGGGACTGAAGTGAAGGAGGATGTGAAGGAGCGACTCCCCCCTCCCCGCACATCGATGTGTGCGGCGATCCCGCGCCGTGGTGAACGGCCACACGCCGAAGAAACTAGTAAGGCAGGTCACGGATCAGCAGGGGAAAATACGGCATGGTGTCACGCGGATTTGGGAAAACGTCGATTCCTTTTCTCCCTTTTGGATCCAGAGGATTTCTGTGACGAAGCTATTTGTGCTATTTCGATCGCGAAGACGTGAATTCCCGACTCCGTCTTGTTGTCTTAGAAAATTGAACAATTGATAGTGCCTTATCTTTCAGAGGCTTAGATAATCTTTAAAAATCTTGTTACGCGTACGTCACGTACGCGGCGTATGCGACTTCGACACGCTTTCATAAAAATCCTTGAATTTGAGTACTTGGAAACTTGACGAGATATCACAATTGTCAATCTAGTATTTATCTTTAATCCTCCCATATTTTTCCCCACGCGTTCGTAGAAACGTAATCAATGGAAGAGATGTTTGTCGAAAGACGCGTTGATCATAAAACTATGAAATTTCTCACACATGGTTCTCTGGATCTCAATATTGGCCACGAAAGCGCAGTCATATTTGTATCATAACGGGCGTCATCATCGAAATATTCACGCCCGATTATTCGGCTTCCCGAACGACGCTCTAGAGTCCGATCCGGAGAAGCACTCGCGTTGATCAAGTGGTAGACGCACGTTGGGCCACCACTACTATTTAGAGCACCGCGCCGGTCATCTTTCATATACCCCACCTAGAGAGACCCAGACTATTCTATGAGCTTTCGAGCTGACCGCGATGGAACAAGAGAGAGAGAGAGAAAGAGAGGAAGAGAAAGAGCACCGGTCAAATCTTGCCGGCGGCGGGGTCACGTGTTATTTCTCGCAGCCACGTAACCCTCGGCAGCATGCTAGGGCAGTGCCTAGGGATGCTTAAATTTAATCAACTATCGATACTTTTACTCACTCAACAGCGACTACATATCGTTAATGATGCGACACGAGGCCGAGTCAGGGATGTTACCGAGAGGTGACCACAAAATGTCTACATAAATCAACTGCATTTTTATAGGATATTAGAACGAAATATGAATTAGTTCATCTCGCGGTGGTTCCAATTTCAAAAAACTACTTTTCTCAGCAAAAATGTCGCGAAGGGCATTGACCTTTCGAAATGGACTAGTCAGTACTTAAATAAGATACGAATGTAATTAACTCGCGCGTTTTCAGGTTCTCTCGCCGCCAACTGTTCGATGTTCCCGGTCACCATATCAGGTCTTTTTTTACAATTTACTCGCGTTTTATGTAGCTGGCTTGCCAGCAGTTTACATTCCTAACTGTACAGAGATGGGGACTGAGATTACTGCAAATATATCAGTAACGTCGCTTCACGTGTGAAATCAGTTTCACGTTGGACGCCGATTATATTAAAGCTCTCGGAGGCTAAAATCTATGTTCGAGACGTTCGTATTTTGTAAATAGTAATATTGAAAATTATATAAAGCTCATGTAAATTATACATAGATTAAAGCACTGAAACAGTGAAATATTGTAGTGCTAAAACATTACGCAAGAGTACCCATTATTAACTAAAAAAATGCAACAAAAGACTACAAGTATTTCACAAGGTAAGTTTTCGATATATTGAACTCTACTTGGTGAATGCATCAGATTAAATGTCAAAAATATAGAAATATATATTTTTACGCGAATAAAAATTTGAAATTTGGAATCTACATTCAAATTACTTAAAAAATGTTTCTGGTGTTTCATTTTGGAAGTCAAAATATGGACTTGTATCAACTTACGAGACGTGCCAAACGTGCAAAGTCGACCGTCGCAAAATCAAGACCGACGTGCAATATCATACGAAGGCATTACCGCAGATCATCAATGTTATGTTACTAACCACGATACGTAATTTCCGCGCGTGTCTTATCATACATCACGAGAAAGACAATCTTGAAACTTGGAATGCAGAGAAAAAAAAAATAGTTAACTTGCACCAATGATAAGAGTGATTTCACGTGCCTCAGTGAGAAAATAGAATCATACGTAAGAAGTTTCTATCATTTAAAATTGTTCTAAAATCTCAAATTTTTCGCAAGTCCTATTTGTGAGAATATACGACGTACATATATAATTCCTATTTTATATTAATCCTACATAATATAAACATGTAAGCGAGAGCTTCAAATATCAGGCGAAATATCCAACTTGAAAAACATCATTGAAAGAATGAAAAAATAATCACTGCCTATCGTATGATAGTAACACTAAAGCTTGGTAAATCGCGTTACGGTATCGATGGGATGGAACGTTCTCGCGGTATTCCGGTATCTCCCGCTGGTAAGGTAGATCCGTGCCATTTTATATTTGCAATGCAAACAATACATATCAATTAGTCAAACATATAATGTATATGTACATTATGATCCCTTTTCTTTCGGATTGATTTTTTCTTGGGCCTGACAGAGAGAGAGAGAGACAACAGTCGCAAGTACAGTCTCACGTTTATTAGTCGAGCTAACTTGTTCGACCTCTCGCCTCTTTCTAACGGTATTCCAAGCGAAACTTTTTGCGAAACTTTTTGCTATTCCAGCATGTGCTACCTACGAGCCTGCCTGTCAAACTGAAACTACCGATGATTATTTACCGATGTGTCCACATGGCATTCATTTATAACGTAATGTTCGGCCCAATCAAATTTCTCTAGTGTGAGGCCAATTTCGAAATCTTTTAACCTTCTTTAAACGATAACTCAATATGGAAAATTACACATGAGAAATTTGCAAACGAATTTTAATACTTCCGCGACGCGGAATCATCGTGTAAAAATAATTCTGATGTACACATCGACAAGTAAACCAGGACGAGTACCACCGGTATCATCAAGTATATGATGGGTACATGGTGTTTACATAGACTGATACCTTGCGAGAGCTCAACTTAAACGAGCGGTATTCTAAGGGTATCATTTACATTTAGAAAGTTTACACACGGAAAAAGCCCACAACTAGTTTAAAATTTTTAGTCATCCATGAGAATAATCACCTGCGATACGGCAGATAAACGATAGTGACGTTTGCCCTCGTGTGTTTACAGATTAGATCAAACTGAACAAAAATATCCTCTACCATTTTGCAAGTAACTACATGGATTTGTAGTTATTAATCGAAGGATATCGGTGCATTATCGCGCGGAATTATCCACGCGGGATTTTTCATTAATAATTCTTCTCCGTGCCGGAAATTGCCACTTATAAGTCGCATATCATTATCGTGATAAGTTCGCAACTTCAATTTGAGGAAACAGAATAGTCTCGACGCGGAAACCTTTGAATTCGATATTATTCGACGCGGATATCTTGAATTGTTGATCGAGAGAACATATACAATTGGCGCAACGATAAGACAATAATACGATCTCTTGTGTAAGAATTATTCCAATTATTACAAATTAACTCGAGATTTTACGTCGTTGTCTGCAAAATGATAAAGTAATTTTGTGCCAAGTTTGACTTAATGTACATTTACACGAGGTGTGGGACACTTTGCGCCAGACCTGTACACGATACTCTTGTGGTAAATAATGAGTTCAACTCACGTTGAACTCGTTACTTAGCTCTCTCCATTTACGCGCGCATAAGTCCACGACGTGATACGACGTGTGCTTGGACGCTTCGCGAAATATTCTAACGCCGTGCTGCGAATGACGTGACAGTTAATGAAGGTGTCGACCGTGCTGCGTAACACTTGTTCGTCGTTTTTGTTAAAAATGAAGCAGCACAAGACACACATGCGAGGAAACGCGCGAAGTCTCCCCCGCGCGAATTATGGAGTTAATGTGAAAAGCCGCACGACTCCAGGATGATCATTGTCCGCGAGTTATATTTACACATCAGGCCGTCTCGTGCTCGAGTGTTGAACGCGCCACCAGCGAATGAATGGGTGCACGCATGTCACGCGCGCACGGTTTAGTCTACGCACCCCAATGGCAAATACAAGAGAAAGACTACGCGCGTCCAAACAATCGCGTACCATGTTTATCCGTTGACACACGAGATACTCCCCGGCTTTCCCGCATTAGCGACTTCGTCAGCGATCCTTTGAACCCAAATTAAAACGCACAGGCGCGATAATGTAATTTCGACTCAAGTTCTCTCATGCGAGTCTCTTTCCCGCGCGAAGTATAACAAATGGCAATTATGAAAGTGCTTCTGCACGGAAGTAACTTTCGTGACATCACGCGAAGATTCTAATCATACAAAATGGCTTTCCGCACTCTCACGGGGAAAGTCGCCCGGTTGGCAATAATTAAAAGTGGAAGGTACAACGGATATCGCCGAGCACGTAGACTACGCGCGCCGAGAGACGAACGGAGGAGAGGCGGCTGATGGCGTATAGCCGGGCATCGAACCGTGACCCGAGCACCTGTTGCCGCCTCCACGGTCGTCGCGGCTCAATGTGAACTGACCTAACCTGTCCCTACTTCCTACACACAACCGGCACAGCCGCCACAGCGGCCCACAGCCGCCCGACTCGCGGACAAAAACGGCACAATTGTCAACAGATCGAGGAAATAATCGACGAAAATCCGGACGTTTGGGAATCAGGCATTATATAGTCCCCATTATTAAACGATCCATTCAATTGTCAGCCACTCGAGACACAGCTGAATAATCCTTACATAAGAGATCGTATTATTGTCTTATCGTTGCGCTAATTGTATGCTCTCGTGATCAACAATTCAAGATGTTCGCGTCGAATAATATCGAATTTATTCAAAGGTTTCCGCGTCGAGATTCTTCTGTTTCCTCAAACTGAAGTTACGAACTTATCACGATAATGGTATGCGATTAATAAGTGGCAATTTCCGGCACGAAGGAGAATTTAACAGATGACACAAGCACGCCGGCGCTATGGCTGTAACGCGTTGCGATTCAATTACGTAACAATGACAGGTAGTAGTTCGTGTATCGCATCATCGCGGACAAATAAACGGCTACGAGGCGCACCACTGCGAAACGTATGCCGACCACCTTCTGACTAATAGCGCATAACAAACTTAAATTGCCACGGATCATTAGTACTTGTCGAATAGATACGCGAGTATGATGCACGAGATCGTAATGCATCTTACATTTAATATCGGCCACTCTGATGCTACATGCCCGTTCTTTGAATTGCACACTCGTGGTAAGGAAATTAAAATGTAATTGTCCGCTGTGCAAGGAAAATTGTTGCAATAAGTGGAGAAGTATCGTAATGAATTAATTCGACAAGAGGAAACAAGCGGAATTTGAAAATTTTGCCTTTTTCTCAGAGAACACATGAAAGACGAAAAACGTATTCTCTCCATCAGAATGAAGAGTCGATTAATTTTTCCGTCGTTCCGCGAGGAGCAATTTTTGCTTCTCCCGCTCCCGCGCCCGCGCGACTCATTTCCGACAGAGATGTTAATTTTCGTTCGGCTGAACTTCTAAAATAATAGACTATTGACACCCACGTGGCAAATTGCATGTGGCGTCCGAGAGAGATAATAATCAGAGAATAAACGCATATAACCGCCGCGCGCCGGCAACAGGAGGTAGCGAAAAGAAAAGACGTCTGTGAAAAAGTTATCGCGGTGAGACGATCTCCGAGACGTAACTCGATATTTACAGAATAATCTCGAGTTTCCGCTCTCGTCGGCACCCTTCATTGAAGGTCAACCACGATGATGTCACCAAGTACAAATACACGCGATGGTGGTCAGATATTAATGCTAAAATTTAACGACATTGTAGCAGTGATTCATCCCACGATTCATCTCCGACCACCTCGAAAAATCTAGATCTACGATATTCGAGGATCCCGGGCGTATGTAAAAAAAAAAAAAAAAAAAAATAACGTTCTCGTTCGCGACGAATTGACACGAGTGCAAAAAGTAGAAGAAAAATCGCTCGATAAATCACTTTTATCGTTCTTTAATTGAGCAGAGATGTAGACAGACGTTTATGTATCTTCGTGGGAAGTATCTATTTGTTTGGTGCCGCCTGTTAAATAGATCGTTAGTCTTAGCAGCGGATGTTCAAGATGTTCAAACAAAGCAGGTGCCCTGCGTTATTATATTATTTTTCTTTATGTCCTAAGAGGGATAACGCCCAGAGAGAACCCAGGTACGCGCCCACATGGAACCGACATAGTCTACTGTCGAAATAGCGGCGTATTAACATCATCATTATCCATTATTTTTGACGTGACCCTAATCATTCGCGAGACGATGCTGACGGCGGAGCAACAGAGTCGTCAGGAAGCGAGTGGTACAATTGAATTCGGTGTGCTCCAAGTGCTCGCGCACGTTACAGCACGTTCACCGCCGCACGTCACGAGGGTCACCGTTGATCGACACAATCTTCATCAATCAGAATAAAAAGATGAAGCCAATCACGCTGAATACATTCGGGCAATACGTGACTTACGTGTGTGTGTGTGTGTGTGTGTGTGTGTGTATGCTACCGCAGATGATATTTCACAAGAATTGTATCGATGTTAAATATTACGTGTATTATTGCACGTTATTAATATAATCCAAATCAAATTCGTAGCTAAAAGACGGGACTTGAATCGAATGTGCGCGAATATGG